ATAGGTTGTTTTCCTACACAATCTAATGGATATGATATATATTATCTTGTCTTAATTTGCATTTATCTGATGACTAGAGAAAGTTTGATTTTCCTTTTACATTCTTTTTCCCATTTTTCTTTTGGGGTGCTGTCTTATTCTCTCTCATTTCTTTGTATATTCTCAAAATGAATACTTTAAAAATTCGATACTTTGTAAATATATTTTCCAAGTTTGGGTCTTATCTTTTACTTCCTTAAAGTGATGCCAGGTGTGGGTGTGATGTATTGCTCTGTGGGTTCTTTGACTCCACACCAGAAAGGAATTTCAGAGTCAGTCTGAAAGTATAGTTTAAGACAGAATTTATTAGAAAGAAAAAGACATGCTCAAAGAGCATGGGTGGCTTAAGAGAAAGGACACGTGCTTGCCTTTGACAGGAAGCTTTACATACTTTTACAATGATATTCGGCAAACCACAAGCTAAGAGCAGAGGGCAGCAGGTATCTGGTCACGAATTTTGATTACTGTCTCTTAACCTTTAAGGTCACAAGAAACTTCTAAATAATAAAGTTACCGTCTAACTAGATTTAGGCTTTTCTTGGAACTTCATGTCTGTGTTTTGAGTAATTCCCTATTGTTTTTGTGATTTACTGCACTGGTTGTGCCACATTCCAACCTGTAAGATGGTCAGGTCTGATATGCCTGGTCAGTTGGGTGAAGGTCGCGTATGGCTAACAAAGATGTCCGAATACTCACCCTATTTTAATTTAGACCTGCCTAAGAAAACTGGCCTAATTACTTCTAAGCCATGTCAACTATGCCTGCCTCAGAAGTTTTAAAATTTTAACATAACAGATTTTTTTTTTTAAATGAGTTGGAGTCTCACTTTGTCACCCAGGCTGGAGTGCTGTTGGCACCCTTGTGGCTCCTGTAGTCTCAACCTCCTGGGCTCAGGGAATCTGACCATTTTAAAATTAACATTTGTTATGTTTTAATGTTTTATGAAACCCTTCTGACCACCGAGGTTTTCAACATGTGCTCCAGTATTTTCTCATCAAAATTTAGTATTTTGCTTTTCACATTTACATCTTCATCCACCTGGAGTTTATTTTTGTGAGTAATGCCAGGTAATAATTCTTTCCTATATGGATAGTCAATTATTCCAGCACCACAAATTCATATTTACAGACTCCTTGTCTGTTCAGTTCAAAACCAGCTTGGCACTTTCACAATGTCTTTCATCACATCCTTTGGAGCTTCTCTCTCACCACACCCTTCTATAGTCACATCATTTTCTTGTTAAACCAGACTACTTATTGCATCCACTCTTCTTGAAGTCTGCTAAAACCATGATCCTTTTCTCTCCACAAGTCATGTCTCTTTATTCCTTACTAGATTGTAAACCTCTTGTGAAAAATACACTGCCCAATTAATTTTTTTACTTTTCAGAGGCAGGGTTTCCCTCTGTGGTCCCGGCTGGAATGCACCGGCGCCCCTGTAGCCTACTGCTATTGTGAACTGTAATGGAACTGGGCTCAATCGATCTTCCCGCTTCAGCCTCCCATGCCAACCTACCCTGCGGGGGGCCAGCCCCTGCAAGTTTTGGGGAGTCCCTTGGAAGATGTGGTGGCGTCGGCGAATCTGTAGGGATAGATATTAAAAGAAAGAAAGATGGAAGGATAGATATAAAGAGGAAGAAAGAGAAAGAAAGAAAGTGGGCAACTGTTCAG